AAAACACTTACATATTTCAGCTAGCATTTATTGGGGAAATTCTTTTTTTGTGTGTAGCTGCCAACATAGATCTGGAGAAATAATTAGATATGATTATATCAAAAAAGGAGCTCCATTAATTAAAAAAATAATGTATGGTTTACAAATTATTAAACAACAAACTATAGACAGTTAAGAACAGAAAGTTAGGTTGATTGAATAATTGTTTGAAAGAAGCAGATGCATGTTTATACAGAACATCAGAAAAGAAGAGTTGCCTTTCTAATGTATTATAATTTTCCAGCATAATTCTGTTTTGTTTTATTTGATTTAATTTTAATAGTATTAGGTGCATCTTTTTAAACTTTTTTTTCCAAAGAAAGACATTTTTTCTCTAAATGTTTCATTTCCAGAGATTCTTTTGTTTTCATATACTTGTATTCTCAAAGCAGTAAAATTAAGGCAAGATTCAGTTAATTTTCTATAATCAGTGATACATGCCAGACATTAATATATTGCAGTTCCTATTTTCTCCAGGGCTTCTAGATGGCACTTCTTCTGGTCCCATATCTTACGTGTGTCCTGTTGCTTTCCCTGTCATGTCCTCCTCTGGCTCCTGGCTGGAGCTTGCCCTGGAAACTGGCATGATTCCAGGTTAGTGTTACTCATGTGTCTTCTGACACATATTATGCCACTAAGCCAAGGAAAAGCAGACAATATTCCATAAACCCTGTTCAAGGTATAGACACTGGGGTCAGAAAGACTGATTGCTCCCTTCTTTATTCCCATGGTGATTCTGGGCAGACTGTATTCTCTGAGACCGGTGATTCTGGGCAGACTGTATTCTCTGAGACCTTACTTTATTCTTATTTACCAAAACAAACAAACAAACAAAAAATAAACACAAAGCCAGCACAGAGACTTGTGCTTATTTTGAGATTACAATAATGCATTTGGTATTGCTTTGCAAATTATAAACTATTACCCAGATACTATTATTATTAGCAGTCTCTAATATGAAACACCCAGGTGGAGGTTCTCAATGTGAGTACTAACAATTTCCTGAAACATTAACAAATGTAATTCTCCTTTGTCTCTCCCCCTAGCACTTTTCTAACTGAAAGTGCTTCAGACATTAGAATCCATGACTTAATGAAAATGGAGAAGTGGGGGCAACCTTAATGAAGAATTTAATAATGGCTGACTGATTTGGTGACAGAGGGAAATTGCTTGCTGTTGTACTGCTCAACATGATGACAAGATGCTAGTCTTTTCAGACTGAAAGAAAAGGTTGGAGAGTAGGAAGGGAAGTATATCAAAGAGTAGTTTGAGATTTAGTTTGTTCTTTGTTCTATTTACAAACTGTGGTAAAGGATGAGACTCTTTGAACTCCAGGAAAGTAACATGGGCCAGGCAGTCCCCCAAAACCTTGTATGGTCAAAGACAGGAGGCAGAGCTTCCTGCTATTGATCTCACAGGTAGGAAACAGGGGACAGAGATAGTTCTGAGACTTCTCCATATTGTTCTTGCATGGAATGGCAGCTTTGATTGCACTCAATAGCATGGTCTACACAGCCCTGGGGCTGTGAAGTTGTAAATTTCCTTATGACTCTGTATTTCTTCTTACGACATGCTATCCTCATCTCTCCAAGTTGATTTCAGATTCAGGCTTCACTAATGCTATTTGGGAAGTACAATTGGGAGTCAAGAGCTGTATGAATGTGCCAGTTTGTCATGGATGGCTTTCTTCCAGTGTACGAGAGAAGAATTGCAATGAAGGGGCTTCTGTGATTGGAGTGTTAACTCTAAATGTGAACATGTGGAATATTTATTGTGTGACTTCTGATTTGTCAATTTTAATAGTTAAAAATAACATCAAAGAAAAGATGATATTGAGGTTCTTAGAGAGGTAAAATTCACAAAATGCTCCATTTCTTTGGAAGATATTATACAGACTTTGGCAAGTCTCATGTAGTAATGTTCTGCTTAGGAATAGCCTGCTGAGCTGCTACGGGTAAGAATGTGACATGTTAGACAACAGAGGACTGAACAGAGGACTGGAGTGTCAAGAGTGCTT